ACATACGAACGACGACCACCCTGAATTCGGTTTAATTGAGAAGTGTCTGCGGTTAACCACAACGTTCTAATTGGGATCACTATGTTAACCAGCAGCACACTCCTCTCTTGGGTGGCCGTTCGTTCGGCAGGTTTGTTCGGGAAAAAAGAGTCATTCGAATGGCTGGGCTATAGAAACCAGCCATTCATACGAACGGGAAACAAACAGACGAATGCAATAAAAATCCAAGCAGACAGATGGTTCTGTCACATGCTTCCTGTGTCAGTGTGGATTGGCTGAGATCATCAAGCTTGATGATCTCAGCTATAGAGGCAGGGCCAGTTGAGGGGAGACCAGCACGACGTGGGGGAAAAAAAAGGTGAGTAAAAACACACATACACACACACACATACCATGACAGACACACACCATGACACAGACAGACCGTGACACAGACACACCGTGACACAGACAGAAGCACACACCATGACAGACACACACATACCATGACAGACACATACCTTAAAAAAGACACACACACACCTTGACACAGACAGACCGTGACACAGACAGACACACATTACATGACAGACACACACACACAATGACACAGGCACACATTGCATGACTCAGACAGACACACACACACACACACACACCATGACACAGACAGACACACCATGACACAGACACACACACAACATGACACAGACAGAGACACACACACCATGACACAGACAGACACACCATGACAGACAGAGACACACACACACAATGACACAGACAGACACACACAATGACACAGACAGACACACACAGACCATGAGACAGACACACACACCATGACAGACAGAGACAGACACACACACACAATGACACACACACACAGACCATGAGACAGACACACACACCATGACAGACAGAGACAGACACACACACACAATGACACACCATGACACAGACACACACACATACACTCACACTGACACACATAATTGCTACCTGTGTGCTGGCGGCCGCATGAGGGAGCTGGCTCTTCTGGTGGCCGCATGGGGGAGCTGGCTCTTCTGGCGACAGCAGAGAGAGCTCTTTTGGCGGCCGCAGGGGGAGCTGGCTGTTCTGTCTCTGCTCCCCTGCCCCAGCACGCCGCTGACTGAGACGTCATATTCCGGCCCGGTCTCTTTAACTAGCGCGCTAAAATCTTCTTTTTTCAGCCCCAAAGAGGCCAAATAAAAAGCCATAATAACCGACGCACTTTAAAAAAAATCAGAGTGTTATGAGTCAAATTACACAGCGTGGGAAAATTCCAAAGAACTTTCCCACGCTGTGTAAAATGACACAGAGCACTCTGATTGGTGGATTTCAAGCTAACCAATCAGAGTGCTGTGACAGGTAAATGTAGAGACTTACCTGTCAGTCTCTTCATTTACCTGTCAGAGCACTCTGATTGGATGGCTTAAACCCACCAATCAGAGTGCTCTGAACCTAATTGCGGGCGGGGCAAGGCTTTATAAGCCTTGCCCCACCCTGCAGAGCTCAGTCTGCGTGGAGCCCTCCATGGGTGAAGAAGGATTATTATTATTATTTTTTTTTTTTAAGTGCATCGGTTATTATGGATTTTTTATTTGCCTTTTTTTGGAATGAAAAAAGAAGATTTTAGAAGAAAGAAAACATCAAATGGTAAGTTTTATTTTATCTTTTTTAACAGGTACCTAGTTAATGCCCCCCCCCTAATTATTTTTAGGGTGAGGGGGGTAGGTAGGGGTTAGGTTTTTTTTTGGGGAGGGGGTGACTAGGGGTTTGGGCACCCCTAGTCACCTGGGGGGGGGGGTTACATTTTTATTTAGGGCCCCCACCTGCCGCTCATTGGTGGTGGGCAGGGAGGAGGACATTAGCCCCCCCCATTCTAATTTAGGGCCCCCACCCACCGCTCAGGGGGGAGGACATTAGGTTTAGGGCCCCCACTCAACGCTCAGGGGGAGGACATTAGGTCCCCCCCCCCCTAATTATTTAGGGCCCCCACCCACCGCTCAGGGGTGGGGGCTGGGGGGAGGACAATAGGTCCCCCCCCCTTATTTTACTTTAGGGCCCCCACCCGCCGTTCATGGTCCCCCCTTCAGGTTAGAAGCCCCCACTCGCGCGGCACGGGTGGGGGCTTGGGAGGTTGCTCACTGTTTAATAGACATGCCCCTACTCACGGTATAGCGAGTAGGGGCATAATTTACTAATACTAAGTAATCTTTACTTAGTATTAGTAAATTTGGCTGAAAGACCAATTTAGGTCTTTCAGCCTTTTAGTAGATAGCTCCCTAATACCGTGGGAATTAGGGAGTTATCTACTTATTCATTCCTGTCATTACACTGACTGGCTAAGTAACTTACATTTTATATGAATGTGTGTTACTTGATTGTTGTAAGTGTTGCAAATGCTTACAGTTGAATCCTGGCTATGTTTGTATACTTTTTATTTAAACTTGTATACAGTGTAACATTCTTCTTCTTCCGCTGGGTAAGTATATTAATACTTAGGCAATACTGTACTTCGACACTTCGGAAATTCATTAATTTCGGGACCTTGGCAATTCCGCACTTCGGCTAATTGGAAGTACCCGAATGTCAGAGTTTCCCGAAATTCGGCCGAATTCATATTCGGATTGAAACGAATTGCACATAATGCTTTCATTCTGCATGTAGCAGTAAAGGACTAGCTGGTAGAGTGCTTATAATACCTTAAAACCGTAGCATTTATACGCTGTCAGCTTGTAACCAAACGCTTATATAGGCAGTATCTTGTTATTTATATGGTTCAGTTTTAATTTATTTTCTCCTGTGTCTAGAATTTCTGCTTTTTTATTTTTTATTCATTTAAATAAAAGTGAATTTTTAGTACATATAAGTCTAGGGGGACTTCCTTTTCTGCTGCCTGGGCTTTTACCGTGAGGCTACTTTCTCTATATCCACATTGCTGGTGTTTGTAAAGGGGTATTGATCCCGTTTCAGCTTCTTTGATCAACGTTATGAACTTTCTGTCCTCTCTTTTCGACCAAGGTAAATCCTTCAGATATTTTAAGAAAGGTAGAAGTTTTAAAAACTTGTTAGCACCAAGCGCTTTTAGGAATAAGGAAAAATGAGAAAAGAATAGTGGAGGATTTTTTTCTTGTGGGTCATGTAAGAGTTGCAATCAGCCTTTTCTACTTTGTTCGAGTAAAATTTCGGATTTTTGCTTATAGTTCGTTTATTTGTTTGGTAGTTTTCAAACTACTGAACGACCAACCACCCCTGAGGCTCATTACTACTAAAAGAAACCATCAATTAAGCACTCTCTATGTGTGGCCACTGTTTGTATAGCCGAACGCCACGTGGAAGAGAAAACGGCGGCCATCTTGTTGGCACGAAAGGAGGCAGCGGGACTTGGTCGTCGAGTGTCTGGAACTAAAATCGGATACTCGACTTCCCAAAACACCGGTCAAACTGACGAACGCCTGCTTCCTTTTCCCGAACAGCCAGGTGAGCTGTAGAATATTGCATATTCTATGTTTCTATTGATTATATATATGGATGTGTGGATTGACATAAGTAACAGATGGTATCAATAAGTCACAAGGCTTTCTTTGTCCGAGAGCTCTGGAATGTGGATGTGGGGGTTTTGTCCTTATATGGCTAGAGTTATATGTTGACGTTAGTATTAGCACTTCTATATAGTAACAGAGGGACACGAGATCTCTCAGTCTTGGTCTCACTCTTGGCTTGGCTCTGTACAACGATGTAACTCTCCCATCAGAAGTCCAGCAATTACCATCTGCTGTTGAATGTCCATTATCCTGTAACATCATTTGTTGTTTTATGTATCCGTAACTAAGAATAAACCTGAAGAAACCGTAAGTCAGATTGCGTATTACTACTTTTCAATAATATAGACATATATTATTGTGGCGAGCATTTGGCCCAAGAATATATATACAAAAGACGTATATATATCAATCAACTGAAGATAAGAAGAAATTAAGAAGATTCTACATTGTACATCCATTCATCTACATTTTTTACATTGGCTAGCCTGCCAGTCTTCTATTCAAGTTTTGTTCCCACTTCAAGGGGGGAGAGAGAAGAATCGAGTTACAAAGCTATTTTGGAACTGGGAAAACAAACTTGAAGAGAAAAAAAGAATCTAGACTGACTGTCATAGAAGAACTGTGGTTTGTAAGAAAAAGAAAATTTTCAAAACACAAAGACTGTACAAGACTATTTTCTAAAACTGAGACAAAAAGCACAAGATGCAACGTGAAATCTAGAAGCAAGCACGTGGCAGAGATTGGCACGTGTCCAGAATCAAGCGTCCAGAACTGCGCAGCTGTGTGGATGAAGCAACGAAATAAACAGAAATAACTGATCTGGTAAAGCGTGACAGATCCTTGTGGCAATTAATCAGGAAAGTATTCCTTCAGACAACTGGACATCGACTGTAGGAAAGAGACTTTTCATCTTATCTGCAAACTGTGATGGAAGATTCTACAGAGTTCATTCGATACAGAAGATTAACAGACTTACAAAGAAATAAAAGATTGACACTAACAAATATATATTCCTAAATATTAATGAAGAAAACAGACAATGAAAAGTTATTTAACAGTTATAAGTATTAATACCAAAAGAGAGTACTTATAACAATATAACACATGGAGTACAATTATGAAAGGATAGTATGAAAAGAACTATTATATTATTACCTATACATAGAATGAGAAGTATCAGAAGTAGATAAAATATGAAGTTGATAAAATAAGGATCATGGTTACTTAATACTACAAAGATTGAGTTCAATAGGATTTCATAGATAAATTATAATAATTTGTTTATATCGAGGTGAAGTAAAACAAACAATGGTAACATAAGGAAGAAAACTAAGGAAGAATAATTTATATTGATTTATATTAAGTAATTATATACAGTAAGAATGCCTTGGATATAAGAGTTCAGAGATCCAAGAGGAATTGAATTGAATGGAAAGAGTATAGTACACAATTATATTTGACCAAAGTCTATAAAGGTATGGGCTAGGGAGAATAGGTTTCTGGATATGACGGTATCCAATGAATACGTTGTTAAGTTGTTTTATGATTACCATGAGTTTGTTAGACACAGACTAGGAATAAGAGTTTCTGGGCAGTATGACCCCAAGTTTATTTTGTTTATTTTATTTTAGTCAGTTGAAGTGTACAAAGGAATACGGATTGGTCAGAACATTAGGACAATCCTGCGTTTAAGATGTATTACATTAATAAGTCATCACAATTAAGGTCTAATGAAGAGAGTGATGCTAATGAATTTAAAGTATTCTTTCCAAGTTATTTTAAAGTAAACCATTCTCCGATTGAATTAAAAGTTTGTTACTACAAGGTGGAATTTTAGTGAAAATTATAATTATGTGAACAAAATCAAATCTATGATAGAAAGATTTCTGGGTGGAGAATTTCTAGGACAATAAGTATTGTCAACACCATGAACATTATTTGAAGAATTATTATAAGACTTCATGGTTGATAACACATCCTTTGAATGAGACTTATAAGTAGTGTTGGTATATTTTAGCTAGTGAGAGCCTACTGAATATACAAATTAAATACTATGATTGTAAAGTACTGATACAATCATCACTAGGTGGTATTAATGGTATAGGAATGTAATTCATGAATACAAATGACCTAAAGATTTTAAGGTTGCTAGAAACCATATGATTCATGGAAATATAATTGGACAGGATATTATAGTAATACATGTATTAGTACTTAAGTAATATCAGGTATTGAGAATGAAAATACTATGCTATATGTGTCTGTAGGAATATGATAGTGAAACACAGTTATTATTTAGAAAGTTACGATCTTGATTTTGTTGTCTACAAAGACATGATTGTACCTGAGCAGGTAGATATTTTTGATTGCTTTATTGTTTATTGGATCAACATTTGTAAATATTTTATTCATTTATTATTGTTATATATGTATATATTATGTTCAAGTAGTTATGATGTAACATGGATATGGATATCAATACATAGCTGAAACAGAGGGAATTTGAAGTAAAGTAAGCGGTATGAGGGATAGAAACTCGACCTTCTAAGAACTCTCATATAATAGAAAATTGTGACTACATCTTGTTCTATGCTCAATGAATGTGATACGAGTGATATATGAATGGACAGGTTAGTGACATTGTGTTATGGTTTTAAAACAAACCATAAACAGAGGGAATGTAGAATATTGCATATTCTATGTTTCTATTGATTATATATATGGATGTGTGGATTGACATAAGTAACAGATGGTATCAATAAGTCACAAGGCTTTCTTTGTCCGAGAGCTCTGGAATGTGGATGTGGGGGTTTTGTCCTTATATGGCTAGAGTTATATGCTGACGTTAGTATTAGCACTTCTATATAGTAACAGAGGGACACGAGGTCTCTCAGTCTTGGTCTCACTCTTGGCTTGGCTCTGTACAACGATGTAACTCTCCCATCAGAAGTCCAGCAATTACCATCTGCTGTTGAATGTCCATTATCCTGTAACATCATTTGTTGTTTTATGTATCCGTAACTAAGAATAAACCTGAAGAAACCGTAAGTCAGATTGCGTATTACTACTTTTCAATAATATAGACATATATTATTGTGGCGAGCATTTGGCCCAAGAATATATATACAAAAGACGTATATATATCAATCAACTGAAGATAAGAAGAAATTAAGAAGATTCTACATTGTACATCCATTCATCTACATTTTTTACATGAGCGCTGTTCGGTGGTTTGGTTCCCATGAACCAAGGGAACAATCGCTGCTATGAGCCAGAGGGATTCATGCATTTGTTCTGTTTTATGACTTAATGAAATAGACCAACCGCACAGCCTAAACACATGGAACTGTTTCTGGGCAGGAGCCTTGTGTGTGGTTGGTCAAATGGGACTTCCATGAAATTCGAAAATCCCTGAACCGATCTGGGTGATTTTTGGATATGTTGGTCACCAGATCGGGGCTATCAGGGGATGTGACATTTGTGGGGGTCCTTTATGTTTTGGGGTGTTTTTTACGTATTGTGAAAATTGTGTTCCCTCTGCCCAGAGATAATTAAGTTATTACTTTATCTGACCCAATTATCTCCAGGCAGAGAGGAGGGAATTAACTGTTTGTACTGGGAGTGTCCCTGTACTGTTATTGGTTGTAATAAGTTGTGTCCCTGTTTTCCATCAGGTCCAGGGGGTGTTTCTCTGGCCTGGAGAATCGCATAAAAGCCAATGTGACACAATAAAATTTCATTCCTGTTACACCCTTTATCATGTTTCGACTGATGTTTCGGTACCTGATTACTGCTTTGGGAAATTTTGCTTGAACGCTGCATCTACTCTGGGATAATAGACAAATGGAAATCCGAACGGCGAGCTATAATCACTCTTGCTCCTAGACGTTCAGATAAAAAACAACGAACCCCTAGCTACCACTTCAGGGTTTGTCACAGTTATAATACTGGGAAAAGATTTCCAATTAAAGAAGAAATTACCTGCAACACCACGCATGTGGTATATCTCTTAACATGTGGGTGCGGGGTACAATATGTTGGCAGGACGATTAGACCATTGAAGTGACGTATTTTAGAACATTGTAACAATATCAAAAAGAAAGTATTAACCCACTCAGTTCCAGTGCACTGTAACAATTGCCAGAGTTTTAATTCTGACAGTTTTTCTTGCATAGGGATTGAAAAAGTTCATCTTGACGAAAGAGGAGGGGATCTAGTGCTCAAATTAAGGCAAAGAGAGGGGTATTGGATTTAAACCCTTAAAACTATGCAACCTGGAGGAATGAGTGTAGACTTTGATATGGTGTGTTTTTTTTTTAAACCATCCCCCCCCCCCCCCTCTGTTTATTAATTTATGGTGATTCACTATACAAATTTTATTTTTACCTTTTTTATTTTCCTATAATATGTACTACTATGATACACTGTTCTTATACTCTATATTTTATATATGAGTTGTGAAGGTTTTTAATGGAGTGATTTTTGAATTAGAGTTTGTGTTTTAACTAATAATTTTGAAACCTTTCTTCCTCATACTCCTCCTTTTATGTATACGGTTCTGTTGAGGACTATTCTTCTAGTATTCTTTACGCTGGAATATACAGCCAATAGATGAAGATTTTGCCTGTTATAGAAGGTATGGAATGCATATGCGTTTCATTGCCGCGAGATAAATATGACGCCACATCCGTGATTGCCAAAAATGAGGTTTGATACGCAGATACCCGGAAGGAGGTGTAGTATGTGGAAGATCATGTTTATTTTTACAGGTGGACTTAACAAAGGACCCATTCCTGATTGGCTAATGAGCCATAAGGAAGTAACAAGCGGGATATTTAAACGACATGTGAAGACAAGACTGGAAGACTTTCCGTGACGAAGTCTCAGGACGAAATGTGTAGGGCAGCAGGAGTGCTTTTATTTTGCTATTTGGTTTATTCGCAATCTTCTTATCCTGGGAGTTTACCAGCTTCTTCTGTGATATTGAAGATACATTGCGATTTTGATGGGCTTTTTAACTACTGATTTCCCGTGAGTGCAATCTAATAAAGCATTTCTTTGTGTTTATACAGTTGTACACTATGTCTTGTATTTCTTCATTCGCCTATTTTATCCATATGTTTGTGAGTGTATATTAGTTTTAACTTTTTTTATGGTGTGTAATTCTATCTACACCATTTGTGGTCCTTCTCTGTTTTCATTTATTTTAGGTTGTGTATTTTTACATATCTATATTTGCAAAGACATAGAGGAGTCTTCACACTACCTTTTAGGTGGTAATTTATTATTATCTATTCAACTGTTTCACTACCAGATTTGCATGTCGCAAGGGTAATATTTTATTTTTTATTTATATTGTGACGAGACCAATCTCGCCACATTGCATTGGAGAAGCCTGGTTGCTCGCCTGCTGCCTTTGGACTATGGCCCCCTTTTAAAAGACTTTATTTTTGCCTGCAGAAAAGCTGTATTCGTGCTTTTCTGCCTGGGGTTCAGTAGATTTGTTTGAATGTGTTATACCCCAGATAGGAATCCCATGGAGCCCATTCGTATGAAACTGACTGTAAAGACTTTAGCTCCATGGCGATTAAACTGTATTCGTGTGGTCTGAGCGCCATTCACTTAATAATGTGCGCTCGGACCTGAGCTATCTGGGGATATGTTACATGTCTGTGTTTTATGTAATAAATGTGACTTTATGTATTTTAAAGTGTTTTGTGTCTCTTTGCAACCATGTGCTTAATGGAGTCTTGTGTCTGTCCTGGGAGATAATTGAATTACTTATCTCCAGGATAGAAGACTCTGAAACTGGTTTGGGCCAGAAAGCCATGCTTCATTTAGTCACAAAGGACTTTTTACTAACTTTTGAACCCCTTGTCTGATTTGTGCCATTTTTGAATATGTTGTTCCCCTGAATGGATTGATTGAGAATATGTAATTTTATGTGAATGTGATGTATGGTTTTGGAGTTATGAAAGTTGGGTAGAAAGTATGTTTTAACTGTTTGTATAATTGAGTTTCCTCTCAGGATAAGGGGAGGGAATATGTGGGATGTAACTGTGATATGATTGGTTGTTTTATCCCTCCCTGTGGGTGGTCCTGTATTTGAAACACTGTAATAAAAACCAGGCTGGGTGTGCCAGCACCTCAGACCACTGCTTGACCCTCAACACGGAGCCTTGTCTCGTTCTTGGGGGGATTCACTGTATGCTGTTAGAGACTGATTGCCAGGAGTGTAAGCTGTTCGTCTGCTTTTCCTGTTCGTCTGCTAGCAGCTATTTGGGAGGTTCCAGTTCGGGAGTTGGAGTGCTATTTTGTATCCAGTTCGTGAGTTTTGGTGTTCTGCAGTAGCTGTGCCTGGATCTCTGGAAAGGGGGCCGATCGCCTAAACGGTTTTTACCCCTTGTGTGCAAAACGGTCCGTTACAATTGGTGGCAAGCGGCGGGATCGTTCCTACAGCCAGAAGGACAGCTACAGGAGACACCATTTCTTTGGATTTTACAATTTGAGGGCAACGCATGTCCCAGTACAGCGACCCTGACAGCACCAGCATGGAACCAGCAGTGGAGTATGACGAGGGTGCCATGGATGACCGAGATGCAGTCCGTAAAGGCATCTGGTACCAGGCACTGGGTATTGTGGAGTACCAGCGGGGCAAGAGACTCCCCAAGGAAGACCAGCGGTTGCAGAAGCGAGTAGCCCTGCGGATGCCCTTCCTGGGAGAGCAGCCCCTAGATGAATGGGTGAAGGAATTGGAGCACCGGGTATGGCAGGAGATTTGGCTGGAAGATGCCTACCAGGCGCTCTGGTGGTATGGGGCACAGTACCTGCCCTGGACAGCCGAGCATGACAAGCCAGAGGGAGAGGAGTTTGATGGTCCTGGCTTGTTATGGGAGGCTTTTTCAGAGCCTGAATTTGGGAGCCCTACACAAGCCCGGTTCAGTGATCTCTTGGAGTGGAGGGAGAGCAGGTATGACTGGGACGACACTCACGACATTGAGCAAGACCTGGCTCACCTAGCAACCCTGGAGTGGGAACTGGAGCAGGACTACCGAGATCTCTTCCACTCCATTGAGAAGATTCAGCAGGACAGCAAGGTGACAGAGCCAGAGCCAGACCCATTCAGAGGGGACGAGATGGTACAGTTTTACTGGGAAGAACCCCAGGTGGCCGGTAGAGATGGGACCGAGGTCTCTCCACCGGTCCTGCAGGGAATTGGGAGCCCAGTCTCCATTCCCCAGCGGCAGTGTAAAGTGCAGGGAGAGGAGAGCAGCGTCCTCCCTCCCCAGCGGCAGGCTGAGTTACAGGGGGCAGAGGTAGTTGTTCCTGCCCCCCAGCAGCAGAGTGATATGCCGGGAAGGCAGTGTAAAGTGCAGGGAGAGGAGAGCAGCGTCCTCCCTCCCCAGCGGCAGGCTGAGTTACAGGGGGCAGAGGTAGTTGTTCCTGCCCCCCAGCAGCAGAGTGATATGCCGGGAAGGCAGTGTAAAGTGCAGGGAGAGGAGAACAGCGTCCTCCCTCCCCAGCGGCAGGCTGAGTTACAGGGGGCAGAGGTAGTTGTTCCTGCCCCCCAGCAGCCAAGTGATATGCCGGGAAGGCAGTGTGAAGTCCAGGGAGAGGAGAGCAGTGTCCTCCCTCCCCAGCGGCAGCGTGATTTTTTGGGAATTGGGAGCCCAGTCTCCATTCCCCAGCGGCAGTATGATGTTTTGGGAATTGGGAGCCCAGTCTCCATTCCCCAGCGGCAGCACAGATTATTGGGAATTGGGAGCCCCGTCTCCATTCCCCAGCGGCAGAGTGTCCTACCGGGAATAGAGAGCCCAGTCTCCTTTCCCCAGCAGCAGGACTCTCTATTGGGAGCAGAGACAGTCGGTCTCCCTTCCCCGCAGCTGGAAGTATGTATGAGAGAGGAGCATGTTACCCCCTCTCCCCAGCGGCAGCTTAATGTATCAGGGGGAGGCAGTAAGCCCCACAACTGTGCAGATGGGACCGTA